TAATTTTTTTTTTTTTTTTTTGTAGAGATGAGGTCTCGTCAAGTTGCCTGGGCTGTTCTCAAACCTGTGAGCTCAGGCAATCCTCTCACCTTGGCCTCCCAAAGAGCTGGGATTATAGGTGTGAGCTTCCGCACCTGGTGTGTGGGCTTTTCTTTTATGAGACAGAGTCTCGCTCTGTTGCCCAGCCTGGAGTGCAGTGATGCAATCATGGCTCACTACGGCCTCCTGGGTTCAGGCATTCCTCCCGCCTTGGCCTCCCCAAGTGCTGGGAGCCCAGGTGTGAGCCACCACAGCCGGCCCTCTTTTCCCTTAGTATCCTCAGAGCCTCCCGACACCTGGCGCACAGGAGGTGCTTACTAGTGCTTGGGTGCCCCACTGCAGGGCTCTGGTCCCCTCCCGGGGCCCCACGCCACCCTTGCCCCTCCTGGGCCTGGCCGAGCTCACCATTGAGCTGCGCGGCCTGGTTGCTCAGCTCCACGTAGCGCTGGAAGGTGGAGCGGAGCGGGCGGCCCACTGCGTCCCGCCAGCCCTGCCAAGCCCACAGCAGCTCCTGCTGGTCCCTGGAGGTGGCCATGACTTCCTCGAGGTCTGTGTCCAGAGGAGGAGCCATGGGGTCCTGCTCCCCCGGGCCTCCCCCTCCCCCACTCCTGGCGCCCCTCAGCAGGGGAGCCCAGGGGCGCCTGGAGGCCCTGGCGGGGACACTGGGACAGGCGCCAAGACCTGCCCTGGGTGGGGGGCGGCGGGGCGCTCACCGGGCTCCAGGGACATGCAGGGCCCCTCGTTCAGGCACACCTGGGCTGTGCTGTAAATGGTCTCCATGTAGGCCAGAAGCTGGTTGTACTGAGGGGGGCGGGTGTCACCCAGAGCCGGCCAGAGCCCCAGGCCCACCTCCCAGGAGTCTCACCCCCACGCCCCGGGCCTCTCCTCCCCACGCCTCCTCCTCCAGCTGCCGAGAGAGGCCAGCTCCACAAAGCATCCCCTGCTCTGCTGCCCTCCACCCCCAGGGGAACTTCCGGTGTGTGCCAGCCTCGTGCCTAGATACCCTGGGCACCCCCAGGCTGACCCGCCCCAGGCCGAGGAGCAAGAGCCTGGAGGTCGGCTTTTCCTCACCTCCTGGAGCTCGTTCTGGGGCAGGGCTGCCGTGTCCATGTCCTGCAGCTTGCTCAGCATGCGCCTCACGTCAGGATCCTGGAACTGCGTGGCCTTGAACAGGCGGGCCCGGGTGCCGAAGTACAGTCTAAACTGGGACCACTCCATGTCCCTGTGCAGCTGGAAGGAGGGCGCTGTGTTTGTGGCGGGAGGGTGGGTGAGGGATGTGGCACTCCAGGGCCATGGGAGCCCAGCCCACTCCCTAACCCACTTGCTTAGGGAGCGAGACTTGCTAAGCGGGAAAGCAGGGAGCCCCACCCCTCAAATCAAGGTGGAGGTTTGCAAGGGATCGGAGGCAAGAGAGTCTCGCCCTGGAACGCTTGGGCCACCCAGAGGCCCAGAGTCACGCCGCTTTGACGTGTTTTCTGGGGCTTTCCTCTTTCCTCCCGCTTGGGCAGGCAGGACTAAGGCCCTAGGCCCCAAGACCCCCGAGGAGAGCACGAGTGGAGGTGGCGCCACACCATTTCCTCCAGATTTTTCCTGGTGATGTTGGTGACGTAGTTCCACGTGGCCTCCATGAACTGGTTCAACACAGCCTGGGCTGTTTTGTCATAAAACTGCAGGAACAGCTTTGCCTCGGTCTCATTGTGGAAGCTGTCTGTGGGGACGGAGGTGGCATCACGTTGTTCCGAGAAGGGCCTGTCCTGTCCAGCGCCCTCGTCCGGTCCCGGCCCACCTGAACCCTCAGTCCTGAGCCACGGCAAGAGCTGCCCGCAATAGAGGAGCAGTAGCAGGGAAGGCCTGGGGCGAGGCCGTCTGGCTCCCATGACCAAGAGAACAGCAGAGCAGGGGAGGCCCTGGGCCAATCATGGGCCGCTTCATTCTGTGACATCAGGGCTCAGGTCAGCCTCGGAATGCGGGGACTCCCTTTCAAAGGGAGGAGACTGCGGCCCAGAAGTCAAGCCACATGATTTGGTCACACAGCCAGTGGCCGGCAGGGCTACCAGAAGGATCCCGGGCATGAGACTTCTCGGCCAGAGCTTGCTCTGCTCCTCTCAGTCACGCACCGTGAGGTGGGAGCCACCCTTGGGCCATGGCCAGGGATGAGAAGATCCCCACCCTCTGCATGCAGGGGCGCCTCTGAGGAGGTGCGTGCACGATGGACGGACGCTGGAGGGTGGATGGCGGGTGGATGGGTAGGTGAACGGATGGTGGATGGATGGTCGGAGGGAGGGAGGGGTGGAGATGGATGAGCGAATGGGTGATGGATGGTGGATGACAGATGGATGGAAGCGATATTTCTGGGTCCCTGGGTGCTGGAAGCTCAGTTGTCTCTTCAGGTTCTTCCGATCTGGTCTCTCATGTTCACATTTTGGGCCTTTTTTTCTCTCATGGGCTGTGTGGGCTCATTCTATCTTCTTCTGACCCTTTACTAGTTTCTCCAAGGAGAAACAGCCCACAGGCAGGAGAGGCTGGGCGGGATATTGAGAGGCGGCTGGCACCAGCTGGGAGGATCCAGCTCTCTGCTGGCCACGGTGACCCCTAGTGCTCTGATACTATAGTCTGGAGAGACCAACTCAACTGTCCCATCTTGGGCTTCCTCTACCCCGTGCCCCTGTGGGACACCCCGGTCCAGGCCCGTTCTCATCTTCACACAGGCCCTGCCCCTTCACACAGTCCCACACTGCGTCCAGAGAAACCGACCAAACAACCCTCAAAATATCATCCATTTGTGGCCAAAATATAATTAAAACACAAGGAAAGAGAGGACACGGAGAGGGACACTTGTGGCTGAGCTGACTGACAGATCCCTCCTTCTTCAAGCACACAGAGATGCTGATGGGACTCGAGACCTCAAACACGACGGTGTAGAGCAGAACCGAACAGCAGGCGGGAACTCTCTGGATGCTGGAGGCAAGAGGGCGCCATGGCGGGCAGGGCCCGGAGCCACGGCCACGCGGAAGGCAGAGTCCCTCCATCCGCAGAGCCCCAGCACAGGGGGCTGCACGGGACGGCTGAACACGGCAGAAGTGACACCTTCACTAAACCGGGAGCCACGTGAGGAGAAGGCGTGTGCACGGGGCCCTGCAGAAGCCCGACGCCTGCTCCTACCGAGGCTCACAGGTCCAGCTCACCAACCAGGAGAGGAACCCCAGGGCTGGGAGGACAGTGACAAAGGCCACTGCTGCCGTACGCTTCCCAAGGGGGTGGACCATTTGGGGCTTTTGTCATAGGAATCCTCACAACACATCAGCGAGGTAGGTGCTTTGACCAACACCCGCATTGTGCAGATGAGGAAACAGGTACCGAGAGGTTGGGGAACTTGCTCAGAGTCACAAAGCCATCAAACAGTGGTGGCGGGACTCCAATCTAAATGACTGGCTCCGGAGCCAGTGCCCACCAGACGCAGGGGATGGAGCAGGCCACAAACAAAAAATAGACTCAGTGGTGAGCCACGATTGTGCCACCACACTCCAGCCTGGGAGACAGAGTGAGACCTCGCCTCAAAACAAAAAAAAGAAGGCAGGCATACCTGTCATCCCAGCACTTTGGGAGGCTGAGGTGAGAGAATCGCCTGACCCCAAGGTTTGAGACCAGCCTGGGCAACATGGTAACATGGAGACCTCATTTCTACAGTAAAAAACAAAACAAAACAAACAAACAAACAAAAACTAGCTGGGCATGGTGGTGCAAGCCTGTAGTTCCAGCTACTTGGAAGGCTGAGGTGGAAGGATCATCTGAGCTCAGCAGGTCAAGGCTGCGGTGGCTGTGAGTGTGCCACTGCACTCTAGCCTGGGGGACAGAGTGAGACTCTGGCTCAAAACAAAACAAAACAAACAAACCCCACAAAACCTCAGAATGTATCAAAGACCTAAACTAGAGTGAAATCTGTAAAACTCTTACAAAAAAACATAGGGGCAGTTTCATGACAATTGATCTGGCAATGATTTTTTGGATATGACACCAAAAGCACAGGCAGCAAAGGAAGAAACAGACAAATTGGACTTCGCCAAAATGTAAAACTTGTCCACCACAGGGCACAATCAACAGTGAAAAGGCCACGCATGAAACAAGAGACAATATTTTCAGATCACACGTCTGATAAGGGATTAATGCCAGAATAGATAAATAACTCCTCACATTCAAAAAGCTTGAGTAAGCCGGGCTCGGTGGCTCAGCCTGTAATCCCGCGCCTTGGGAGGCTGAGGTGAGTGGATTGCCTGAGCCCGCGGGTTCGAGACCCGCCTGGGCAACTTGGCGAGACCTCATCTCTACAATAAATCACAAAAATCAGCCGGGCGTGGTAGCGCGTGCCTGTAGTTCCAGCTACGTGGAAGGCGGAGGCGGAAGGATTGCTGGAGCCCAGCAGGTCGAGGCTGCGGTGGCCGGGAGCGGCCACTGCACTCCAGTCTGGGCGACAGAGGGAGACTCCAACTAAAAAAAACAAAAACAAAAAGCTTGAGTAGCTATCTCTCTAAAGAAGGTATATGTTGGGCTGGGCGTGGTGGCACACACCTGTGATCCCAGTACCTTGGGAGGCCAAGGCGCGAGGATGGTTGGAGTTCAGGAGTTCGAGACCTGTGTGAGCAGCATAGTGGGACCTCGTCGCTGCCAAAAATAAAACAATTAGGCAGGTGTGGTGTGTGCTTGTGCTCCCAGCTACTTGGGAGGCTGAGTTAAGAGGACTGCCTAAGCCCAGGAGGTCAAGGTGAGCCATGTGGTGAGCCATGATCATGCTGCTGCACCCCAGCCTGGGCGTCAGAATGAGACTCGGACTCCAAAAATAAGAAGAAGAAGAAAGAAGGCATGTGGATGACTTGTACGCACATGAAATGATGCTCAGCATCACTAAACACCAGGGAAACGCACATCAAAGCCACAGTGAGCGCCCTCACACCATTTGAATGGCTGTTAGCAGGAACAGAAAACAGGCTGGGTGTGGCAGCTCACACTTGTGATGCCAGCGCGCTGGGAGGCCGAGGCGGGAGAATCACTGAAGCCCAGGAGTTCCAGACCAGTCTGGGCAACATAGTGGAACCTCATGTCTACAAAAAATAAAATTAGCCAGGCATGATGGTGTACACCTGTAGTCCTAGTTACTTGGGAACTGGGGTGAAAGATTGCCTGAGCCCAGGAGGTTGAGGCTGCGGTGAGCCATGATAACACCACTGCACTCCAGCCTGGCTGACGGTGCGACCCTGACTCTGACTCAAAAACAAGCAAACAAAAAAGAAAAGTGTTGGCACAGATGTGGAGAAATCGCCAGCATGGTGTGTTGCTGGTGGGAAGGTAAAATGGGAACAGGGTGGAGGGACCTCAGAAAGATCGTACAGAAGCTGGGCATGGTGGCTTACACCTGTCATCCCAGCACTTTGGGAGGCAGAGGCAAGAGGATTGCCTGAGCCCAACGGTTCAAAACCAACCTGTGCGACATGACGTCATCTCTACACTAAATCAAAAAATTAGCTGGGTGTGAGGTGTGTGCCTGTGTTCCAGCTGCGGTGGCCATGAACATGTCACTGCACCCCAGCCTGGGCGACAGCAAGACTTTGACTCAAAAAAAAAAAAAAAGGAAAGCATAGAACTACCATATACTCCGGCAATTCACTTCTGGGTGTGCTCATAGAAGAACAAGAAGCAGTACACACCGATCTGTCAATCAGAGATTGTTGAAAGGACCAGAATGTGGCTGAAAAGAGTTTATTCAAAGCTAAGGTGGGGCTGGGTGTGGTGGCTCACGCCTGTCATTCCAGCACTTTGGGAGGCCAAGGTGAGAGAATTGCCTGAGCCTAAGGGTTCCAGACCAGCCCAGGCAACTTGGTGAGATCTCATCTCTACAATAGATCAAAAAATTAGCCAGGCATGGTGGCATGTGCCTGTAGTCCCAGCTACTCAGGAGGCTGAGATGGGAGGATTGCCTGAGCCCAGCAGGTTGAGGCTGTGGGGGCCGTGAGTTCCAGCCTGGGCGACAGAGTGAGACTCCAACTATAAGTAAGCAAGTAAGTAAATTAATTAATTAATTAATTAATTAAAATAGAGTTGAGGTAGCCCCAAAAATGGCTTCCGTGATTTGAAGCTGAAAAGCTAGGGTCTGACTTGTGCAGACAGAAAACAAAGAAACTTAGCAGAATCGCATTTCCTGGACCACGCTGGTTTATGAGTCACAGCAATTTGAGTTACACCTAGTTTGCTTTCGGTTTTCATCTTGAGAGAGTATATTTAACAGTCCACATGGAACAGTGTGACAGGTGGGAGGTCTTTGTGTAAGAAAAGAAAGAAGGAAGCTAATCTATAGTGAAGATCAGCAGTCATGAGAAAAGGGACTTTCTCTGGTGCCTTCTACAAAGGGGTACCCCCCCACCAGAGTTATCTTTTGGCGGGCCGGCCCCTGTAGCACAGGCTTCTCCTGCTCGGTGAGTGTTCTAGGAACCCCTCGGCACCCGTGTTGTGAGAGGTTGTGTTCAGCTTCAGTGAACTTATTTTTTTTTTGAGTTGGAGTCTCACTCTGTCATCCAGACTGGAGTGCAGTGGTCGCTCCCGGCCCCTGCAGCCTCCACCTGCTGGGGCTCCGGAGATCCTTCTGCCTCAGCCTTCCGAGTAGCTGTAATC